ATTCTATTCTGTGTGTAATCGATTATAGACCAGTGTCGAAGCCTTTAAAAAAGGTAAAAAGTAAAAAGGTAAAAAAATTATAGTAGAATAAAACCCATTAGAAAAAGAAGAGAATATGCTAAAATTGCACAATAAAACAACAAGTGCTATGGAAAAAAGTTAAATAGCAAAGTTGTAGGTAACAAAAAGATCTACAACTTTCGTATTTACACTTTTTTCACATAACCTCAAAATTTTTGTGGAAAATTCAAAAAACTATGTTTTTGATTTTTTATTTTCTTAAAGAAAATAATTTTTACGAAATTTGGTGAAAACTTACCTTAATATGTATCAAATACACTGTAATTTTTTGGAATTGAAAATTTTTTTTCCTGATATTTATTATCGAAAAAGCACCCTAATTTTCAATCAAAAATTCACGCGTCAAAATATCAGCTTTTTTAAAAAAGTCGGTGACCTTTTTATTCGTTGAAATATCTACTTTCCGATAATGTAAAAAATATATATACATTGCTATGGGAAATGTTCTCAAAAAACCCAAAAAACCAAGAAAACTCGAATCGTGCAATTTTTTTTTTCATCATTATGTACAATTAACTCATCGAGTTAGAATCTATGGAGAAGCTATGAGCGTATTAACGTATGTATTAAAAACGGCATAGGTAGGAGTGGCTAACTATAATACCAATATGGCGGTGACATCAGGGCCAGACTCAATAATAATAAAACTACTATACAAATATGACTAGTTATTCAGAAGATTTAATCATAATCTAAAAAAGTGCAATACATTTTTAATAAACTATGATTTATTTATCCCGCGGTAAACACTAAAAACACGATATATTATATATAAAGATAAATTAATACAGTCAAATAGTATTAATTTATTCTCCGAAGTACGGGCCATTACTTTGTTTACATATTTGTATACTAACCTGTGGAACGATATTCCTGAAGATTTTTTATTAACATTACTTCTGCTTCTGCAACTACGTTGAGAACAAGAAACCATTATTATGCACTATCACAATATATTACAGTTTCTATAAAATTATTATAAAACTGAAAATATTCGAAAAACAACAAATATAACCAAACATATACGATCTGTCAAAAGTTTCAAAACAATAATACCAATATGGCCGAAGTTAGGTCGTTTTTAGTCACGTGATGCCCTCTCCATAGATTCTAACGCGATACAGAGCAACACATTGATTTACGGGAATATAGAATAAAAAGAGATGTAGCTGATTTACAACTATTACATAAATTTTTCAACACATATGATCATTTTCCAGAGACTGATAACATTATGTCAATATTTTCTGGAATTATTGGCAGTACTTCTGTAAATTGTTACGAAGCGTATGAAGAAAGAGAAAAATCTTTACAAGCTATCGTGGGAATGAATTTTGGCAGTGTCAAATTAAAAAAAAACAAAGTGTTGTGTCTAAAAACCGTTCAATCTTCCGTTAAAGTAAACGGAGATATTATAGCAATCGATCCGTTATTGCTATTTCAACGAATATCTCTAATGATCGACAGTAAAAAAGATATGCAGAATTATTTAAAATTCGAACTTGCACCTTTTTCATTGTCACTTTTTACGTAAAATGATCTCAGGAAAAACGTTAAATCTCAGCTCTACGAATTATTTGTGAGTACAAATGGACCAACGCATTCTGACGGCATTGTGCATGTCGTCGACAGTGGATTTTTACTACAAAAAGTAATTCGGCAGAAAAATGAAACGGTGGAAGAGATCATGAATGTATATTTGCGCTATGTCGAAAAACATTATGCAGCAGGCAGCCATTTCGTTTTTGACGGCTATCCCGAAATTGAAAAATCAGTAACTGTGACACCAGCACCAGCAGCTCAGACAATATTCCAAAGTTTCATTATCAAAACCATACTAAAATACCATTTTTGCAGGAAAAAGTTTTATCAAAAGAAAAAAACAAGGACAAAATAATCAAAACGTTACTGGAAATATTACAGTCGCAAGGATTTTTCTGTCAACAAGCAGAAGATGCTGATGCTGATATAATTAAGACTTCCATATAAATTGCCAGAGATACAAATAAAACTGTCATTGTTGTGGGTCAAGATATTGATCTTTTGGTCGTTTTGATTCAATTAAATGAAAATAATAATGACATTTCACCAGTGACAATGACAATGACATCCAGATAACATCCAGAACCAGGTTCTGGAACTGTAAAAGATAAATTTTTCACGTCGATAGTTTCAAATATGAGTCTTGCAAAAATATCATTGTATTTCTGCATTGTTTTATGTTGCGATAAAACATCTGGATTTGCCGGGAAAGGAAAGAAAAGTATCGTAAATTCATTATTAGACGCTAAACATTTGTCAAGTTTGGCTAACATTTTTTATGAAAAAGATGCAAATAAATAATATATCGCAAAAAATGGATTACAATATTAACCAAATCTATTTATAAGTGCAAAAATGATAAGCTAACACTGAAAAAATTACGATTTAAAAAATATCAATTGGCAAAAATCAAATCATCTTTCGTATTGGCAAATCTCCCACCCACAGAAGGTGCAGCAGAAAAACATTGTTACAGGGCATATTAACAGCTTCAAACATGGCTGGGCAACGAACTGACAGCAACAGATTGGGGCTGGAAACAACATCAACGAAGCATTATTCCCAAATTTACAGAAAAGGAATTTATCCCGGAAATATTGCTCAAAACTATTTGCTGCAGTTGTGAAACTGGATGTAAAAATTTGAAATGTGGTTACCGAAAACATGGTTTAAAATGCACAAATTTATGTTAAAGTTGTCACGGCTCGGAAAAATGCTCTAATGTCGAGAAAAAATCCTACGAAGAAATTAATGATAAGATTCTGATGAAATTGTGGATGAGGAAGTAACGCAGACAGGAAACAACATTGGAGATGAAGACGGTGATGGTCTTGAAGATTTCGAAGATCTTCTAGAATCAGAAGACAACGAAAGAATGCCATCAAAGCGGCAAAAATTAATGCCCTAAACAATATTATGATAAATATATACATCATAAATATATATATATATATATATATATATATATATATATATATATATATATGTATATTGTAAGATTTCCCATGACAAAAATGTAATTAAACATTAGTAAACCAGCTTTTTAATCGTTAAAAAAAATCGTATAGCAGTCACATTTTTTGATGAAATTCCCTTTAAATCCTATATTGAATATTTGTAATAGCTATTTTCACATGTCATTTTGCAATCTTAATGTTTTGGGAATTTATAATTTTTTTGTTTATCAATGTATCATGTTATCTTAAGCTACATGACTAATTACAGTATTAATTATAAGAAATATCTCAAAATTGTACATAATGTTAAAAAAAAATTGTTCGATTCGAGTTTTCTTCGTTTTTTTGCATTTTTTGTGAACATTTCCCATAGTAATGTAAATTTTTTACACTATCGAAAAGTAGAGATTTCAACGAACAAAAAGTTCACCGATTTTTTTAAACAAACTGATATTTTGGCTGATAATAAATCAATATCAGGTAAAAAAAAAAAAAATTTTCAATTCCAAAAAATTACAGTGTATTTGATACATACTAAGGCAAGTTTTTCACCAAATTTCGTAAGTTTTTTTTTAAGATAAAAACAAAAAATCAAAAACTTAGTTTTTTGAATTTTGAAATGAACAAAAATTTTGAGGTTATATGAAAAAAATGTAAATACAAAAGTTGTAGATCTTTTTGTTACCTACAACTTTGCTATTTAACTTTTTTCCATAGCACTTGTGGTTTCGCGATATAGATAGAAAATCGCGATAAACCAATTTTTAACCCTTAAACCCCACCCTTCCCCCCGCCCCTCTTCCTAACCTCGGATGGAGTGTAATTTATTTTTTCCAATTGGTTTCATTCTACTATAATTTTTTTTGGTTTCAAAAATTATCTACCCTGGTCTATTATTTATATCATTTGAAACAAAAACGTAAATAATTTTTTTATACGACTGATAGATAATTTGTTATTAATAGTTTATTGTAATATAGTTAAAAATAGGTAAATTAAATTTAAAAAATATATAATGCAGGTGTTTCATTTAAAATTATTGACTTACTATGGTTTGAAGTTTAAAGAACTGGTGTATCATTTGTGAACACCTTGTATTTAGAAGTTCGATTTCGATGTAAATTCCTGAAATAACGTTACTTCCTCCTTGTGTGCAAAGGTATTCAAGACATTATAATTGTAAATGGATGAGATATTAACTCATAAATTTTGAGCAAACTGCATGTTTTCGTTTTCGAAAAAACTCTAAAAAAATACTTTTTTCCAAGTATAAAGAGGGAAAACCAGACATACAATTTTGTTACTTTTCTTGCAGCACAAAGATATAACCCTAAGAAAGATTTTTTTGAAAATTTTTGAATGTACAGTTTTGTCACAATGGGAAAAAATATGTTCTGACTTATAATAAAGCTACCGATAATGAACCGGAAAAAATTTTAATAACATTATATAAAACTGTAAAAGTGGTAAATATTTGCAATAAAACGTTGAATATTTTTTCCTAAACATATGAAATATCTCGAGAATTATATCTTGAACTGCCGCCATAAAATTGCATCGTAGGGAGATGGCTCCATCACAAACGTGGGTAGTATTTATAATCGATAGATTGCATTACTTTCGGCCTCGAAAGGCTTCAAGCAAATCGTCATACTAACAGGGTTGCCATATCAATTATTTTGAACAATACTTTGGCAGATTACAAAAAGATTTAATAAGAATGTTATCGGTTTAAATAAATTTTATCTAGAATGCTGAAACTTATAGAATAGTAGATACTGTACTATGGTATTCTATAGAGCTTGTATTCTAGTGTTATTCTTTTATGCGACTGATGATGACTTAAATCTAAAGTTCACAATTACTGGTTGATTTTAATTTCATTTTTCTTTACAAATTTAATAAATACTTTCTACCTACCTAAAGTACTATTATTTTCTACTGCAATTGTATGTGCATTATCACCATTTAAATTTTCCAGTGAAAAATTTATTCCATTAAGTAGAAGTTCTTGACAAGTATGAGGGTGATTTCCTTTAGCGGCATACATTAGAGCTGTGTTACACATCTAAAAAAATATATCAAATTATGTTATCTACGTACTAATTGTAGTTAGTAAGTGACAAGATGTTAATTAAAAAAATATATAAAAATATTTTCAATGCATCCTATTATTGTTAAAATTAAATAAACCATACCAAGTCTGACGAAGTTTCGAGACTGATTTTGAAAGGGTGTTTTAGATGAATATAAATATACAGTGCTATAGTTGAGCCGCTGAAAAGATGGAATGATCACGTGAACAATATTATTAAAGAATATAGACGCTTATGAGCGTATATATTCTTTTTTTGAGCGTCTATAGACGCGAATATGAGCGTCTATATTCTTTGATATTATATTCCCTAAGTTAAGAAGCAAAATATATATGTTAGGAACTACAAGATCGTAATAAGACCGATCGTGACGTATGCTTCTGAAACATAGGTCACAACAAAAAACCAACAAAAGCGTTTATGGGTTTGGGAGCGAAAAATACTGCGTATAATCGTTGGTGGGAAAACCTTAATGGCCATTGGTTACGAAGAACAAATAACGAGCTAATTAAGCTCTATCAAGAATCTAACATATTAAAAAGACGAAGAGGAGCTATGTAATACTCACTCCATGGTTTATCCAAATTACGTTTTTTTAATGGTTCTATATACTTAATAGTGATATAAGATATAAATCCAAAAGGCTATGTTCAAATTCCTATGACATAATTTATTGATAAAAATAGATTATTTTTAAGAACTCTGATATCAGTATATACCAAAAATCAAATAAACCACTTGAACTTTAATCAAATAAGTATTTTTTAAAGGTTTCATTTTAAAAAAATTAGGTATGATTGCAATAATAAATAACAATATAAAAGAGATATATGAGAACATATTTCAATCTTTTTTTTTAATAAAATGTTTAGCTTATCTTTGCATAACTACTAAATTCTCTAAGAACACAATTTTTCACAAGAAATAGAATATTTATCAAGTTAGTGAGTCAGTCAGATAGCTCAGTGGGCTGTGCGGCTGTCTCTCATTCGCTTCACTGTTGAATGGTTCAGTGGATGTGGGTTCGAGCCCCAGCTCGGTGTACAGAAAACAAAAAGTCTAACGCAGCAGTTTAAAATTCTAGATGAATCTGCGGCTTAGACTAGGATATGCTGGGATCTGATCGGCCTATGGTGGAGCAGTACGGCAAGAGATAAGGGCTTGCGGCTCGGTGATACTCCTCCATAGATCCCTACCGGACGGGCGTAACGCCTAAAAAAACCGGATATATATATATATATATATATATATATATATATATCAAGTTAGTGAGATGATTTAATCATCAGCATCAATACATTCCTCTTATTCACTTCATGTAATAGCCATTGTTGTGTTTATGATACCCATTATGTTGTTGGGTATCTTTCTGAATAGAAAAAAATGTGGATGCTCCTCTTCATGAACATCTACCTATATTTAAAGGCTTTTAGCAAAAATCTTTTTTTCCACACTTTGTATCTTTTCATCCAAACTATTCCTAAGATTCTTTATTCTCGCATTTCCTCCTCTCTTATTTGTCCTTCATAAGGATATAGTTAAATAATATCCATGTCCATATAACCATCACAACAGATATCTTTCTTTAGATCTATTGTCAGCTACATTTCTTCAAACCAATTAACAAAGTATGTAAGTATAAGGTCCGTTAAATTGTCCTAAATTAACAAAGGATCCAAAAAAGACTGTGAAAAAGAGGATATATAGATTTATTTAAGTTTAAAGATTATTTAATAGATTATCAAAGAAACTTAATTATGCCTCATTACAGTAAGACACCTCATTTTTATGAAGTACCGAAAATTCATAAAACTAATACACTACTTAGACCTATTTGTGTGTGAACTATGAAATCTGAATTCTCCTTTAGGTCAACTGTCAAAATTTATATTGGAAGGACATGTACTAATAAGACTGAAGTACTACAGGAAATAAGCAGAAAATCAGCTCAAATTCATAATGGGCTTTCTTAGTAGACATGAGCCAGTCAAGGTACACCAATGGGACTCTGTCTGGCTAGTGGAGATGAGAATACTTCCAGGGTCAGATATCATTGCCCATTGTAAGAGTCTACACTCCTAGTATCAGAGACTAGAAACACTCTACTTTTCCATTCCACAGAACCAAAGTGGGGTTGAACGAGCTGCGACCCTTATACATATCATTTCCACATTAAGGGCGTAGGATTGGGGCCCATACACACTATTAGAGATTTAAGAGTGGGAGAGGAGAGCTCCTCGACAGCTACATACCTAGGTGCGAAGTCGAGTTCCTCTACCTGCTCACCTTGTAAACCCTGTAAAACCGACGGTACTATAGGGAGGGTGAAGCCTGTAAACCTGAGTCCTGCACTAATATTTAATTATCAGAGGAACACAAACTTCTTCATGTATATAATGAGAGTGTTTCATTGAGACTTAGGATGTAGACTCTGTAGCAGAGAACCTGACAAAGTCAACCATATCTTGCATAACCAGAAATCCGGAGTAGGTAACATGAAGAAATGGAGAATATAAAATAAACCAATTGCCTGCATTATAACCTGTTTATACAGATGGCTTCCATGTCTACTGTTCCCTTATTAGATCTGTTTTGGAATATGGTAGCAATATTTGGTCTCCTCATTATAAATGCTACAAAGATCTATTAGAAAGAGTACAGAAAAAGTTCTTAAGATTTATTGCTTTTAAATTGAGAATACCTGTAAATGAAATTTAATACATTGTTTTGCAGTCTTTACATAAATTGCCTACTCTTGAAGAATGGCGAATATGGTTAGATGTAGCATTTATATATAAATTAATAAGAGGAGGTATTGATGCTAGTGCTCTTTTGGAAAAAGGTTTACTTCTTTACTCCTTCTAGAGACACCAGATCTCAAGACTTATTTTATTTAGAATTTCATAATCAAACTTATACTGTACATAAACCCTAACAAAGAATGTGTAGAAATGCAAAAAAATTTAATAGTAAGGATTTTTTTTCATTTATCACTAAGTACTATTAAGAATAAGAATGAAAATACCTTTTTATGTAATCAAATTGTGTTTTAATAGTTTAAGCTAAATTTAAGTTGTTTTGTAAAAAAATTGCAAGTCTGTAAATAAACATTACATTACATTGCATTAAACTATATTACATTACATGAAAAAAAGTCATTCTCATATATAAGTACATCCTCTAAACCTGAATGGTACAAATCTAAATCTGGTGAGTGAAGTAAAGTATCTTGGGATAAAAAAATCCACAAGGAAAAAATTCCTGTAGTTGGCTGTATACCACGTATCACAAAAAGAGGTTAGGCTTTGTAAATGGGTATATTTATTTAAAAAAAAAAAACCCTTAAAAGGGCTACATCAATAAAACAAACGTTTTCGGACCACACAGTGCATCATCAGGTTTTAAAATCGAAAATGCTAGGTCACAATGCCTGAGCCACCAAAATACTAGGGTAAAAACCCTTTAAATTACATTTAGTTATAAAAAGATTGTACATTGTGTTATAAAATAACTGTGATGTTCAGTATTAAATTAAATTTGACTAGAGGTAACACATGGCTGAATCGAGTTACCAGAGCCGGTGAGAGAGAACCTCTACACGCGGAGAACAGCTGGGAACTACTTAGCTTGGGAACTTAGTTCCCAGCTGTTCTCCGCATATAGAGGTTCTCTCTCACCGGCTCTGGTAACTCGATTCAGCCATGTGTTACCTCTAGTCAAATTTAATTTAATACTGAACATCACAGTTATTTTAAAACACAATGTACAATCTTTTATAACTAAATGTAATTTAAAGGGTTTTTACCCTAGTATTTTGGTGGCTCAGGCATTGTGACCTAGCATTTTCGATTTTAAAACCTGATGATGGACTGTGTGGTCCGAAAACGTTTGTTTTATTTATGTAGCCCTTTTAAGGGTTTTTTTTTAAATAAATATACCCATTTACAAAGCCTAACCTCTTTTTATCTTGGGATAATATTAGACTTGAGGAGTACTTCAAATCAGCATGAGAGTACTGAGAAAAATCATGGCATTGTGTTATTTGTTTATGTTAAACAATTTTGGTTTTATAGAAAATAATGTTAAACTATTTATTTAGTAATTTAGTTAAATAATTGCAAAAACATTCACTGAGTCACTGGCTCAGCTATATTTTAAAATGTCATCTCTAATTAAGAACTTAAATATAGATAATAGTTTTATAAAAACTTACATGATCTACATGATTAACTTCAGCCCCCTGGCCAATCAAAAATCTCACAACATCAAGGTGACCCTCACTAGCAGCCAAAAGCAAGGGAGTTTCTTCTTCAGATCCCATTTCATTTACCCTAGCCCCATTTTCAATCAGTAGTTGTACTGAATGAATTTGTCCATAAAAAGATGCCCAATGAAGAGCTGTTAAATTATCACAATCTTTAACATTTACATCACTTTCTTTAAAAATGTCTTGTAGTGTTAGTTCACCTTGTCCAGCTTTCATATGAAAGCTAACTGTAGTCGCTGGAAAATGATTTTCCGTGATAGTATTTCCACGTTGTAAATTAGTTAACATTGAGTTACAGGTATAAACTTTATAAGGTAAAAAAGCACTTTTACGGCTATCATCCTCTAAACTTGGTGACCATTTTTGCTTACTACTTTCCAAATTGGATAAACCGAGAGACACTGTTGGTGATGATTGAAAAATAGGTTTAATATCATCTTCGTTGTTTAATTTTTCGAGATATTGATCCATTTTATTCCATTTATACTACATTTATATTTTACCCTGTTCTCAAATAAAAAATTTGAAGTTTAATTATTTAATTATCACAGATTATTGTACTTTATTGGTGGTGACAGTTAGATGACACCTACGACAAATGACAATGACAAAGGAAACAACTGTCAAAACTGGACTGAAACTGAAAACATAAAGTAGCCACACACGTCAAACTAACTAGGCTCCAAATAATAAAAAAAAGTGTTTTTACGAGAAAAAAATGTTATTTATGAGAATAAATGAGTTTTCCAAGTAACATAACATAAACGAAAAAAATATAGCTCAAAATAGAAACAATCTTGTGATCTTGAAGACTAGATAGTTCACGCTTTCACATCAACTAAAAATGGAAAAGTATTATTTACAAGTATAAACTTGACTTGCACTAAATGGGTCAAACATAATAAAAATGGAGAACAATTTACGACAATGAAAATAGGGAATATTGGAATTCCTATTAGGGAAAATTGTTGGGTTAAATTGGTGATTATTTAAAAAAACGGAACGAAATAACGAACATGTTTTTAATCCTAATAGGTATCCCTGATAATGATCTCTTGATCCTCCCCAGGGTTTGTGATTGTTTATTATGACACGTAAATGTTTTTTTACAAGAGCATTTTTATGTGTTTTTCTATAGTTTTATAGTTATTGAGTAAGGAGAAAGTGCTTTACGAGCTAGAAAGTAAAAAAGTATATAAAAAATAATTTTTTTTATTGATGTTTTGGTGTGTATGAGCTTTGAAAGAATATTTCTGGTATCATTGTGCATCGAGATTCGCAAACTGCAAAACCGATATCTCCCTTTCGTGAAAAGGGATTAGAGATTACTAGTGGGGCAACAGGTGGGAATTGATGACCAAGACCTCCGTATTTTCAAAAATTTGTATTGGCATCAATGTGCAAACATACGAATTGGACACAACACGACGGAAACAGTGGAAATACGACGTGGAGTGAGGCAAAGATGTTTTCTATCGCCTCTACTTTTTAATATCTACTCCGAATCTATTTTTAAAGAAGCCTAGTTGAATTACAGGCATCAAAATCAGCAGAATTAAACTAAAAACTTAATACTTCTAAGACAAAACTTATGGTTGTCAGCAAAACGGAGTTACAACCGACGAACAGCAGAGCGTATAGAATAGAGTTAGAAAGAGTCTACAATAATACCTTTTGGTCGCAAACGTTAACAATAACTGGTATATAAATAACGAAATAAGAATACGCATTGAAACAGCCAGCGCCGCCTTCTATAAATGAAAGAAAATTGTAATTAATAGAGATATTACGTTAAAACTTAAAATCAGATTATTACGCTATTACATTTTCTCCACATTGCTGTATGGTTTGGAGAGCTGGACCCTTACAGAGACATTAATGAAAAAATTGGAGGCCTTTAATATGTGGATTTATCGATGAGTATTGCGGATGCGTTGGGTTGATCGAATATAAAATGAAATAGTTTTATATCGAATGAAAAAGAGCACAGAAATAACAAAAACGATAAAATTTGAAAGTTACAATATTTCGGTCACGTAATGAGACATCCAGAGAGGTATAACAGAGGTTAAATGGGGGTACATTGAAATAAGATTTTTCGTTACAATATTATAGATTTTGTCTGAGTAGTCGTACCTTTTATAATCTAATCTACAGAGAATTCGACGTAAGGTGTATAAAATCTTTTGTCTTTTAAATAAGTTCAAAAGACTGTATAAGAATTATGTTCTGTTACTGGTCGAATATAGTTATGTTACTGGAAACTTCGGTTCTGCTCAATATTGAGGGGCTTTTGAAAATTATAAATAGCATTTTGCTTGCATTTAATGTAACTGTTCACTTATTACACCAGTCTTGGACCAAATTTAATACATTCTGTGTTGTGATGAATTTTCTCAGATGGATGTACCTTTCTGATTTTGTTTTAAATGTCTTAACATACGTGTAGAGAAATATTCGAGTATGGAAGAACGGGAGATGTAGTACGAGGGAGTTGAGGGACATCAAATTTCCCAACTTTACATACGAACTATTAGTCCTATATTTTCTCACCAGATGTAGATTGCTTGTAGCATTTCCTGTTCGTTTATGTTAGAGTACATTTGTCGTGATTAAGACATTATCGATTTTTATCCTTGAAAAGTGGGAATTTAACTTGCTCATAAATTAATTTTTCTGGTTGATATAATATTTCAATGGCAATATAAAAACACATGTAATAATATGCTTGTATTAAAAATTTTAAATTATGTAATAGAAAACTTTGGGACACCTTGAGGTTATGGTTGTTAATATTTTTTGTAATGAAATATTTTTTATTCCGTCTCACCTAGCAGGTCTATCTAAAGAGATAAAAATAGTGAAACACATAGAATGGCTGGTTTAATGTGATGTTAATATTTTTTCACGTTTATTATTTAAACATTTGTTTTGTTGAAGCTTGTTGCCCTTCCCGTGCTTGTAGCTTCTGGAGCGAAAGTTCTTTGTGGCGTTTCATGAAGCTTTTTAACCAGTTATATCCTGCCATTTGATTAACTTTCCATGAATTGCCTAATTTAAATTTAAGGACACATGCAGGTATATAAACTAAAACAAAATATATGTTGATATGTTTAAAACGGATAATGACAGTAAAAGAAAAGGGAGTTATAATGTTAACGTTTCGACCACATTTTAGCCGCAGATTTTAGATCCTCGATGTGTCGGTCTTTGTCCCGCTTATAGGTCAGTATAACAGAGTTCCCAATGATTGACTACTGGATCATCCAGGCAAAACCATATCCATCTACTGCCAATGTGATTTTGTGGGGCTAGCTCACCCGTTGGCTGTAACTTGGAAGAACATTATTTCTGGTTTTCAAAAGACTGGCGCATCTACTCTTTTAACAGTGAGCCATTCAACGAAGTAGAATTCTTAATGTCTACAGTAACTGACCGGTCTCCTCCATTTGCACAAGTTACTGGTTCTTATTCCTCAGCAGAACAAGAATATCCTGCAATTTAACATACAGTCATTTCACATTATTTCTCAACAGTTCCTTCTACATGTTTTAAAAAACTATCAACTTCTGAAGAATCTAACGTCACTCAAGAACATACAATTTCAATAAAAATTCTGATTACACGTGAGCGAATGAGACCATTTTCTAGAGCTGCACAACGCAAAGAAGCTCAAAGGAAAAAAAGAGAGATAGAAGTTATATTATAACTAGTAGACCAAAGAAAGCAGAGGAAGAAAAATTAGCTCTTGATAGAAAAAGGAAGAAGTCTGGTAAAATAACTGCAGCCATCCGTAATCTATCTAATAAGAAGAAAGTTTGTGAAGATTCTGAGTCTTCGTCCAAAAAAGTACAAATTACATATCAAGATACAGATGATCATTTAGAAATATCTCGTCTGGTAAATCCAACTGCAGCCATCCGTAATCTATCTAATAAGAAGAAAGTTTGCGAAGAGTCTGAATCTTCGTCCAAAAAAGTACAAATTCCATATCAAGATACAGATGATGACCTAGACATATCCCGTAGTTTTGAGGAGGATGAAATTGAAAAACTATATTTGAACAACAGTTCTGTGAATCTTAAGACGGATGATTTTATTCTGGTTAAATGTTGTAGTAAAAAGTCGCTTGTTTGTTATGTTGGCAGAGTGTTAAAGTGTTATTAAACTGATAAAGTTAAAGTTTAATTGATGCGTAGAAAAGGGGTAATTTGGAAATTTTATTTTTCGAATGTAAGGGACAATAGCATTATTGAGAAGAACGACATATTGCTTAAATCGCTGCAACAATATCTTTTGGAGTTACAGAGAGTTAAATCATTATTTGTATTTCCGGTTAATTTATCAAAGTACAATGGATGAACTAAAGGATGGAAAGCGACTTCTACGGTACACAAAAATAAATATGGAGATTTATAAGAAAACCAACGGAAAGAAATGGCAGAATTGAAGAAATACAATAACATTCCAGCAAAAAAATGGGAAAGATACCTAAGGGAATTATTTAAGCAAAGGAAATAATAATCTACACAATAACGTACCTGCATTAAGACACAAAATAGAAATCAGTTTTCAGGAAGTAGAAATAGCCATAAATTCGCTCAAAAATAGAAAGTCGCCAGGACCAGACGGAATAACCAACGAGCTTCTAAAATACGGAGGAGAAAGTATAATCCTAGAGATGACAAAACTTATACAAAAACTAATATTGCACTGCAAGATACCAGACGCATGGAGAAACACCATAATGATACCAATGTTTAAGATAGGAGGTTAAGAAGACCCCAACAATTATAGAGGTATAAATCTAATGAACGCCGCACTTAAGCTTACCACAAAAGTCCTAACCAATAAAATTAATAAACTAACAACTTTATCAGATAAAAAACAGGGATGCAGATCCGGAAAACCCTGCGTAGATTCCGTATTTGTATTAAGACAAATCACAGAAAAGGCTATCGAGTACAATAAACCAGCATATCTATGTTTTCTAGACCTGACAAAGGCTTTCGATCGCATCCAAGTCGAAGAAGTCTTACACCTACTGCATAAAAGAAACATACCAATCAATATTATACAAACCATCGAAAACATCTACCTCCAAAATCGAACACTGGCAAAGATAAATGGAAAACTAACACAGTGTATACCAGTACAAAGCGGAGTCAGACAGGGTGACTTGTTGAGCCCACTTCTCTTTAATATAATAGTGGACGAAATAATACAAGCAATACTTAAGGTCATGGCTACAGAATTAGGAACAAAGAAATCCAAACATTATGTTATGCAGACGACACCGCATTAATCGCCGAGATAGAGGATGAGCTCCCAAGATTAACACATGTCTTCAATACAACAGCTAAGAAATACAATGTGATAATATTAGCAGACAACACCAAATGTATGACAAACATCTAAACACCCACTAAGCTGTAAAATCGAAATTGATGAAAAAATAATAAAGCAGGAAGCAAGGTTTAGATATTTGGGAATAGATATAACTAGTTACGGAGATGTTGAAGAAGAAGTACGACAACAAAGCTTAAAAGCAAGTAAAGTGGCGGGTGTCTCTTAATGACACAATCTGGAAGAACAAACACCCAAGACAAGACACAAAAACAAGAATCTGTAAAGCAGCAATTAGACCTATATTAACATACATGGCTGAGACAAGACCTGACACATCTAAAACGAGACGACTGCTAGAAATAACGGAGACGAAAATACTCCGTCGAATATCAGGGAGAAGTCTATTGGATGGGGAGAGAAGCGAAAACATGAGAAGAGCATGCAATATAACAAGACATAAATGGATGGGTGTCAAAAACGAAAACAGGAGTGGAACGAACATATCAGTAGAATGGCAGAGGATAGTAATAGTACGAATAGCACAAGATAATCACCAAATGGACGAAGAAGTATTGGCAGACCAAGAAAAGATGGTGCAAAAATTTAGGAGGCTAATATTGAAGGAGAAACAGGCTTTGAAGCCTACATACTAGAAGGAAGAAGAAAAAGAAGAACAATGTAAAATAAAGAAAAGTTTCTATTATGTTAAAAAATAGCATTTATTAGATCCCATTTCCGACCTCCATATTAGTGTCCCCCACACAAAATTAAAAGGAAGACCGATGTTATTTAGCTTTTTATCAGTCCCTTGTGCCAAACTTGATCAAATGCCTTCTGTGCATCCAAGAAAGTGGTAAGGTAATTTTATTATTGTTTATAGATTGTGTCACTTGTGGTTATTTTAAATAAATAATTAGTAGTTGATTTCCAGGCTGGAATCCATAAAATTGATTTAATGAATAATTGGGGATGATATTATGTAAGTCGAGAAAATCTGTGAGTCTCTCCGTCAGGATACTCTCAAAAAAAATTTGAATGTGCTAATTGGAGAAATTGATCTGTCATATTTGTTACGGGGTTTAACTAATTTAGGTAAGATGATTGCATCAATTATTTTCCAGAATGTAAATTTTTGGCCTGAATTAATATTATTTTTCTAAATTAAGTAGTGTTCTTTATATACAGTTTACCCCTTCATGAAAAGCCACCATTATTTCTCTAATGAATTGGATTTGTCTTCGTTTATGTCGTGATGAAATACTTTATATAACATTTATAACATTATTAAAAAGTATAGAAAGATCTTTACATATAAAATTCCCTAATTACAATTATTAAATACACAATTATTATCTTGCTTAGCGTTTTCTTTAGATATACCAGACTAGGGTATACCATATATAATATCGCAACGTGTATGGCTGGCTTTAGTTTATTTTCATGTTCATGTTCATTACATTTTAAAAAATTTAAGGTCAATTATAATTATAAATTTACATAAATGACTAAATATACTGTTAAATAATCATTGAGGTTTTGCCTTATTCTTTTTTTATATAAGTCTAATAAGTCTTCCCTACGCATTATTTCAACAACATCTCAAAGTGTATTGTTTACAATTTTTATCTTAAAATTTTGATGTTTGGAGTACCCTGTACCATCGACCGTGAGGTCACATAGATATAAAAAATAAATTGATCATCATTGATGGTTTATAATTTTAGCAATAGTAATACTTTAGAATTTAATAATGGATCAACTTATAAAACTAAACAACCAAACTGCAGGCAGGGACAAGATTGCTAGGTAAATAATTTTTAATATATTTAATTGATAATTATTCAAATGTTCACATTTCTAGGTTGCTACAGTACTTGAGTAGGTTTGTGTGGCACAATTTACAGAAAACTCAAAAAAATGGTGTAGTAAGTCTGAAAAATTTGGAATTTCAGTTAAGTACTTTCAGGAAATGTAAGTTTTCTACTTTTTCTAAAATTATTAATAATTTATAAAACAGTATAAGTATGAATGAGTCAATTAAGTAAACATAGTAGCCAGTTATCTTGACAAATTGTGTGGACACAACCTGACCTTGTTAAACCAATTTCCAGTTCTTATGAAGCACTTTGATAATGTCTGAGACTTCTTCAGTTGTGAAGGGTTCTTAGAGAATGTTACTGTATTGTTGACAGTTGTGGATCATATCTTCAATCCATCCAGTTTTGGTATTAAGATAACTGGGTATGGAATGTTGATTTTCCCAAAACTAATTTCTTCATGACTTGGTTACAACTTAGTGTCATATAAAAGACCTCTGCATACTCAAAAAGTGTACATTTCTGGTTGTTACTAACTTTATATCTCCTTAGTTGGTCTAAATAAACAAAGAGTTTTTATTTTGATGTATCCAGGCACTGTAGGGTAGTTTTGTATTGTGGATCATATTGTTAAATGCATTTCAGTGCTCAGTATCACTTCTTCAGCTCTTCTGATTACTTTCCCACATCTTATTACTCAATTATATTCTGTAATTTGAATAATATTTAGATACAATTATTATTATTATCAAGATTTATGTAATACAACTCTCACTCCTTTTAATTGAAAAAATCACTCATGTCAGATACTGTATAAAAAGAATTAATCTTTGGTGTGGCTTGGTCCATATTATCAAGCCCTAGGTGACCTCCAAAAATTTTCTTACACATCTTTATATTGAGAGCAGTACCAGTTTCTGCATGGTTTTATAGAGATGTTCACTAACACCAAGCTGTTTTATCTTCTCTAGGGGTTCTTTGGAATGACTCCAGTAGTAGAGAGAATAAATAGTAGGTATCATCTAGATACTTTGGAAGTTCTTTGGAATATCATTTGAAAATTTTTACAGTTTTTACTTATTGTACATCGGACCTAAGTAGTTTCAGGTGAAAGTCGTTTGTTTCAAATCAATCATATACAACAGATGATTAAGCTTCACCAATATTATATTATTATTTTTGTTGTTAAAATCAGTCGAGTATGTAGAGTTCAGTAGCTGGGGTATAGGATTCATCGCTATGCAAAACTACAGTGAACTCAAGGATTCCCTTTGAAATAGTTATCAGTTAATTGGGACACTTTCAGTTTCAATATGGCTTCACCAGGTATTTGAAGGTGAATTTGCATCTTCAAATCTGTCATTATATACTTATAAAAAGAGTCTTACTATGGCTCTACTAGGCTTTCTTATAACCAATAAAGGCAGTAAAGAGGTTCTTTTTGTTTGGGAGTGCTTGATTAGAATTGACTGAGTCGCTTATAAGTTGTTGTTTGCATCCCGTGGAACCCTTAACTGATCCTATCTGTTGGGGCTCTATGACATTATTCAGAGCACAATGTTGGTAGTTTGGTTGGGTTGTACAAGATGTGACCAATTTATACATAGTTGAAAGACAGGTAATTGGATGGTACTTGAGTGTTTTGTTGATCCATAGGTTGTTTCTTGAATAAGGCAAGGTGACAGGCAATTCATGCTGCTTAGAAAGAACATGATTAATTAATATTGCTAAGCTCTCATGAATACTCCAACAATTTCTTAAGCCAAAAGTTGTGTACTCTGTCCAGGCCTGGAGATTTCCAGTTATGGAAGTCTTTGATGACTTTTTTAATTTCTTCATTAGAGACGAGTTTGTAGGGTGTATGACTGTAACCTTGAGAGTTGTGCTTTGTTTCTTGAATTCATCCTGCAGTGCTGTTAAGAGTAGCTGGCATTGAAAGTGGATTTCCGCAAAACTTATTAATTTCTTCCTGATTTGCATATGATGTATTAGTACTTTTTCAGTAGAATTGTTTTTTGTATATATAACATATAACATCTGAATGTTTAAAAAACATATTGTAGCATTTATGGTTGTTATTCATTTTGTATCTCCTTAGAACGCCTGAATATTTGATGGCACTGTGGAGCCATATTGTTTCTTTGATCGTGTTGTAAATATTTTTTCATATCATTCTTTCCATGTACTTGCTATTGCTGTTGCCACACAGTAGAACAGCATGTATAAATACTCCAATGTATGAGTTGCTATGACATACATGGATAGGACTTCATTGTTCATAATTCCTAATAGGACACCTAGCTTCAAAATTTATTCTTGGTAATGGCTAAATGGGTGTACACTACTAAACTCTTATACAAATCACTTACGAGATTATACCTAACACACTAATATACCACAATAACTGGTAGAAAAAGTACTAATGGTGTTTTACGAAAATCAATAAATATTAATACAAGAGGTCTGTTGTATTCCACTGTTTTCTCTAAGGATTTTCAGGTTTTGTAGATGGTCATTTTTCCAGTATCTTCTTCAGAATCCTAACAGATTTCTAGGCTGACAGGTTTCCAGTTTTTTGTCCATTCTTGTTATTATTATCCTATCCTATCCTATCATAGTACACAACTTGAAGAGGTGGTTTAAAAAAGACTAATTGACCGATAATTTTCTAAATATGTCTATTTTCGATTTTTATAAGGTAAGTCATTATGACGTTATTCCATTCTGTTGGATTGTAAAAACAGACGTTGAAAAGTAGTTTAATTTTTTTAATTCATTTTTTTCCTTTATCCATTATTGTTTCTGCTACTATTTTATCTTCACCTTGAGTTTTATTAGTTTTCATTTCATTTTTCTTTTCATCATAGAATTGGCAGAAACCATCGCCAACCTTAATTGAGACTGCCGGCATCAAAAGAAGAAGAAGGCATCTGTGATTTCTGATTTTTTTAAATTGGGCATAAAATCTGATGCTTGGATTAATATTCCCATTTTTGCAGTGACTGGAGCTTGTGTACTTTTATTTGTGTTTCCGGATCAATAGAGGTTTATGTATATTGATATAACTAACGTTATTTAGTAGTAGAAGATCTACTTTGTTCACATAAAACTTTCTTGTCTGTTGTTTCTTATGTCTGTTCATATTGCTTAGTGACAATATTCTGTTTGAATCTGTTAAACCCATTAGTATTGTCCATCTATTTGGGTATTACTTTTTTTCCTTTGGATCCTTTCTTTCTCAACTGATATTTTCAGTTTAGCCCTTAGTCACTACTAGTACTGAATTGATTTAATACATTATATTTTGCGAAAAAATCGATTTCATTCTAAAAAAAGTTTAATAGCTGTTTGTCTTTATCGTTTCTTCCTTTACTTCCAAAGTTTTCAAGTGTCTTTTCTGATGGATCTTTGGCGTTGAAATCTCCACTCTCCACATATTAAGAAATGATCAGGTCTTTGGGGCTGCTGATATTAATTCTTCGTAAAATGTTTATATCTCCTCGTAATTATAAATCTGAAGCTTAATTTTATAATTAAGTAGGCTACTCTGGTTGATATTTGATTTCTCGATAAGATGTTGGCCATTATAAATAAACCTACACCTCTGATAGATGATTCTTCTTCTCGTTTATAACGCAACGAGTGGTCTGAGGGGAGTGTGGTTAGATTTTTTCCCCTTTTCCTTAATTCAGTAATACCTACAATACCTCATTTTATCTTTGATATGGATCGTGTATTAAATGTAGTAATCCCAAGTTGGTGACTTTAACTCGTTTTGTTTGAGGTTGAGTGTTTGCTACTTAAACACCGCTTTTGCGTTGCATATCGGTGAGTATTCATAGTTGTTCCTACGAGTAGCTTGGTCGATTCCTGTTAGCCTTGTTGGGCAACAGGAACAGGGCTGATCGTCAATGGGATTTCGCCTGGTATCCCAAGATCATCGGTCGTGGCCATATGTGCCGTGTGACCATTCAGTTTATGGCACGATTGCTCTCTCCGTAACTTCGGTTTTATTATGGCTGGTTTTCTTCATATCGTGAGACGAAAATAATTTATATAATGGGAGGAAAATAGTAACCCTTCTGCCCTCGGGAATCTCATTGCCATTTGGCGTCGGACAAACCAAAACTGTCAAGGAATTGTTAAGACAAGTTAAAGGAGAATAAATTGTGAAGGCCAACATGACGCACCAAATGCGAGTCATAAGGATATGAGTATTTATATTCCTCGCTCATGCATGGAGTGGACTAGAGGCTCCATGCCTCGTCCAGCAGTCATAACATGGAGAATAAGGAGCATATCTCGTATGTAAAAATCCATACATTTCATCTCTATGGGCTGACAAAGACTTCTCAACATAATTGACAATATTTTGTATGTGATATTCAGTAGCATAATAGCTCATAAGATTTAAGCCTTCTTATTACTTCAATGAATTTCTTATTCCAGTTGTATTTACCAACTTTTGGTACTACTATTACTGTTTCGTTGAATCTTGTTTTTTTTTTCTTTTAAATTTATTTACTTTTTCTCCTGTTCAATGATTACTATTCATATTAGCTTTGCTTGTTTTTTTTACGTTTTTTTCTTGCCTTTTTCTGAAAATTTCATATACATTAAGAAAAACGTCCTAGATATGTCCAAATTTTGTAAAAATGTCTTTCTTTTGTTGATATACTCATACAGTGCTAGTAAGAAATGAATGAAATTTATTATGGGATGTACCAGTGGTACCGACTGTTTTGTAAATAATTCGTAATATACAATTTATTTTGTTTTACTGTCTCTCACCCCAACCAAAAGGCTCCTTATATACCTGTTTGCTAAATTTGCAAAAATCCAATACAAGGTTTTCTAAAGACAGTAGTCGTCAAATATTCGGCATTTGACTGATGTCTTATGTGTCAAGTTTTACTAACCATAATTCCATATCTTTAATTTATGAATATCGGTATTAGCGGCAAGTCTTTAAATATCATTTCAATCTAATTCTACAAGTTTTTTTCGTTTTTTTTATGAGGGGTGGTGGCCAAAATATTCGAAACATACCTCGGTCGTTAAAGGATCGGCATAGGGTGCAAACAGCCAAATCCGTGATCTATTCCATCCTACTTCCTAGCTCTTTTTCAAGCATCTACGCCAAGAAGTAATCCAAACACCGATGCTCGCAATCTATTCATCTTCTCAGATTAGAAATCATCGACTTCGTCCACTGCGCTACCCTTCTCATCTCGTCCCATTCCTCTTGCTACACCATAATGGACCTCCCTCTTTCTTTGGAACCATTCTCTTTCCTGCACATTTGTATGTTATCCCGTCACTTTTCGTTGGACCCTTAAGAACTATAGCCTCGTTCTTACCCGCAGTCAGTTCTAGGCCATGCATTTTTATCCATTCCTCGACTTGGTCGCTTGTACGCTGTGCACCGAAGATAAGGTCCTCCCTGTCCTGCGCCACTACTAGCATAGCGAGGTCCTCCGCAAATGTGAAATGGGTTACAACCTCTCCATATTACTGGCTCACTAGCACTCCAGCCCACTCCACAACTTCACTCCAGCCGTCTCGTCAACCACCACTGCTTTTTCTACCACAATTTTTTTCTCTGGATAGTCTAAGACCAAATTCATTCTTCTTTAAGTTCCATCTTCTATCGAAGGTTGGAAATCATCATGGCTATGCGGACTCTGTTGACTGCCGCTCTAAAAAGTTCTGCACTACTGCATTCAAACCATTCTCTTAAGTTCTTAAGCAGGGATATTCTTCGTCTTCCCACATTTCGCTTTCCTCGGATTTTGCCTGCATAATAAGTTGTAATAATGGGTATTTTTGCCCTCTCATCACATGTCCTAAGTACTCAAACTTTCGTCTTTTAATAGTTAATATTATTTCCGCCTCATTTCCTATCCTTCTAGTTTCTTCCACGTTTGAAATTCTTTGAATCCATGATATTCGTAGGATTCTTCTGTAACACCAAAATTCAAAGGCGGCCAACTTATTCAGATGGACTTGTTTTAGTGTCAACGCTTCCAAGCCATAAAGAAGAGTAGAGAACACGTAACATCGAAGTATTCTCAGGCGTAGTTCTAACCTTATATCCCGACAACAACAAAACTTTTTAAAATTAATGAATGATGTACGTGCTATTTTAATACGTGTCTTAATTTCTTTTGTTTGGTCTACATCTGATGTTATCCATGTTCCTAAGTATTTATAGTTATTAACACTCTCAATTGCAGTATCTTCAATAGTCAATTGGATATTTGCATGTGCAGATTTAGTCATGATCGTGCATTTAATTTTCTTTAAATTTATCTTCAGTCCGTACTCATGACAGCGTTCATCAAGGCGTTGCATTACGTTCTGTAAATCATTGTTGTTGTCCATCATTATTACTTACTACTTTTATTATAATTACTTATTACCAAATTCATTAAGTACCTGGAATACCTTCTCTCTAGTAAAGCCCTCATTACGTCTTTCCATTTTTCCATGTTGAAAGCATTCTGGACGTCAAACAATAGTAGGATCGCCAACCTTTTGTTAACCCCCACCCCGCGCAACTCCCGGAAGATTTCCTTTACTGCATCCGTCTTGCTCCTGTTCTTTCTGAAACCGTGCTACCTGGGTGACAGCCCGCCCGACACTTCAATGACTGTGTCGATTCGCTCTCTTGAAGCCTCTCGTATAATTTACCTATACACGACAGAAGGCAAACAGGTCGATTCTGGTCTTTCGAGATTTTCCAATTTTCGGAAATCGATTAGTTTCAATGTGCATTCTTTGTTTCAAAAGCCACGTCGCATCGGCTCCAGACTGCCAATTCGTTTCACCACTTCGGGTGATATCCTATCGAGTCCAGGAGATTTCGTGTCTTTAGGGCACTCAACGATTCGTTGGCAAGTTTTCTTTTTTCATCTACCGTTTTCATGTAATTTCTCATAGTTTCTCTTATCATTGATTCGAGTATTTTTGCCAATAGCAGTTGGCTTCTTCTCTATCATCCATCTAGAGTACTCATCAAAAATTGGCCTCCGTCTATCTATCTTTTTATCTCCACCTCTTCTTCCTATTTGGTTCGCTGATGACTCCTCTTTGATAGTCCCTACTCCGACTATCGAAAGGCCAATGTAGCCAATTCTACAAGTTAACAAAAGCTAATATCCGTCAGTAAGAAAAACTGATCCATTAAAAATAATACAAAGATTTTTTGGCTCAATACAAACTCAAAATTTCTGCCTTGAAAACATATAATTGATGGGCATAACATGTTTTGCAATACTGTTTTATATTATTTAATGTATTCTTATCTCTAATTTGTAAATACACTTAATAACTTAATAAATAAAATAAATAATTTTGTTTTTTAGTACTCAGATTTGGAAGATTTGCCGAAAGTATATACACAACATTACCATTCTTCGAGCAGGATGAAGCCACTATACGCTATACTGTGATTTTAAGCAAAATTGCGAATTCGTTGTTTCTTTTGGCTGATCATATATTATGGTTAGGACGTGCAGACGTGTGTACTGTGGACACGGAGAGATGGTCACGTTTATCCAACAAATATTGGTTATATTCCATAACTATGAATTTAGTTAGAGACTTCTATGAAATTTCCAATATTTTAAAAAATAATAAGGACTCAATTTTACAAAATAAATTCAGTTCCAAGGAAATGTTACATATTTTGTTACGAAGCTTTTATATTCTTAGCAATCACCAAGATGTTATGATAGATACTATCAAAAATGGCTGTGACTTTTTTATTCCTTTTACATCATTAGGCCACATAAAATTATCACCAGGGATTATTGGTTTACTAGGGGCTGTTTCTTCTATTGCTGGAATGATAGTATTACTACAACCTTCTAAAAAACTAATTCCTTCTTAATATGCTTAAGGTAATTAGGTGACAGTCCATTTTTATGTTGTATTGAATAAATATACAATAAACTTCAAGGTTTGGGTCAGAATTATTAAAAACTTCGTTTTTACAACTATAAAACGAAATATTTTGGTACAAACGGGGATGAAATATTTACAAAAGCAAACGTATAATTTATTTATTGACAACCCAAAAAATGCATTTTTGGAAGCGTTACTTCTAGTGACAAAAACAATAGTGATTTTTTTGCATGACAATTGCTTTATTTGGAGGGAAGTTACATTATTTGCTGGCTTGACTATAATAATTTTAAAACAATGACAATCAATTAAGAAGTGTTTTCCAAAAATGTCCGACGAGATCCTTCGAGGTGATCCCACATGCTTCCATCAGTGCTTTAACTCATTTACAGCAAAGTAAAGAAAAAAAAACTTAAATATAAAAACAATACGTGTTTCTTATAAAAAACACCAAAGTAACAAATATGTATGGTCGAAAAAAATTAGAATTAGCCATTTTAGAAAATTTCCGTGTGTAAATAAATTGTGCAATGTTCACAAATATAAATTGTTGACTTTTACCATCGCGTAAAAAGACAAAAGAGGGAATGTAAAGGTAGTGGGGTCAAAAATATTGTTAGACAGGAAGTGTGATCTTTAGAGAGGCCATATTAAACAAGGAAAGAGAGTCTCTCCTTGTTTGACATCAAATTTAGTTGGGTTATGTTATTGTTTGTCCCAAATGTCACATGAAATCTTATTTATATTGAAATTTTTTAACAATTGTGTCGCATTTTAGACTATTATCGTTAATAATTAATTAAAACTTTCTCGTCTAAGACACATTCTGAAACATATTATATAGCTACTGTTAATAAGTGTCGGAAAATTTAAATTTGGCGCATTCGCATTTCCGGATATGTCCGTCATCAGAGGCCACTTTTTTGGTCTCCTTTTCATAAGGATTAGATTCCGTCTTTTGTCTTTTTGCTCGATGACTTTTACACACACGACATCTTTTAGTGATGACATGCTCAGTTAGATCAATCCTTACTTCAATGGATGTTTCTGAAGGAAGTACCCTTGGGACAAAGTTCAGTATTTTCAGAAGTCGGACAGCGATAAATGATTTGAAATTTAGTTTTGGCATTCTACTATCATGCACAATATTATATATTTTTCAAGCATTTCCAAGATTACTGTCAACTGCATTTATAAATGGTGACCACCACCATTTCTTACCCACCACACGGAATCTGTAGTTTGTAACACCATTATCATGAAAATCTACCTTTCCCATGGATTTGTTATATGCAGAAATTATGGCTAGTTGTGAGACTAACTTCTCTTTTTTAGTTTTCTGTTATACCTTTTGACAGAGCTGAGAAGTCCTATGTTATAATTGGTACTGATTGCTGTCACAATGGAAATATCGTTCCATTTCATTAAAAAAATATAAGATGATTCCACAAGCTGTGAATCATAGGAGCCTCTATCCTGTTTTGAAAGCAATGTACTTGATATCAAAGGACAGTTAGTTGTTCGGTTTTCGTTAATAGTCGCTGTGGTGAAGAATCCTTGTGCTTTCAAATAAAAAAGTTTGTAAGACTCAAAAACGTTATCAAAGAAGATATAATGATTTTGAACATTTTTCACATGTGGCAAAAGTTCAAGAACTACACTCGCGCCAAGTCCAAGAACAGTTTTCTTTTTCGCTGCTCCCGCGTAAGGAATGAACTGATGAAGGTATCCACTCGAAGAACACATGCACCAAATCTTTTAACTTTAACAGGAACCATTTGCTCATCAATACACAAGTCACATGAAAAAATTCCAAACTAAAAATTTCTGGTTGATTGAATCAAAAAAGGGACGGAATTTTATAAACAGTTGAGTTACATCCAAGTTGTCATCATCACTCAAATGTAGGTTCCGCTTTATTGATCTGAACTTTTCTGGTTCATATATTTTCTGACAATATAAACAGTTTTATCCTCATCTAAAGACCAATACATATTAATTTGCGGTAATGTATGGTAGCCTGACAAAATTATGATTCTCAGAAAATTCAGCAGTTCTTGCAATAGATGGAAGTCATACTTGTTATTTTTCCGCAATCTGAATAATCAACTCCATTAGGTCCTCATTGATAAACTTAATCCATCGAAAAAATATCCAATGGTGACAGGCCTTCTAATTCGTATTTCAATTCTTGAATTTGTTCCTCTCCTTTAGTTAGATTGGTCCAGCTCTTAAAAATGTGCTTGCCACTTCATGCCGTTGCTTCTAAGACTTCTTGACGTTGTGTTGCTAGTTGATCTATCTCGGGTGGAATATAGAAGCGTCAATTTGCTCTAGAAAGAACGAAAAATTTGCTGAGTAATACTTAACATAAAAAATAATATGTTCAAACGTGCACAAACCTCCAAGAATTAAGATATACTCACAATTTTCATCGCTCAACTCACGTACCACCTCCTCTATGGCCAACTCTAGCTGACTCTGTAAAAATTTCCGACATATTTTACATAAAATAAATCAGAAACACGCACTCGAACTCGATCAGATGAAATCTAAACAGTTGTAGGGTACGTCTAGACAAAAGCTGTTTATGTACTTCCCCGAACATTATTTTCGTACTTCCCAAGACTTCTGTTGACATTTCACACTTATTTGGCCGTTGATGCGAATACGTAAAAACCTAATTTATGATCTAATTTAGGGAAGAGGAGGATCATGTAGGTCTATTTAAATTTTATTATGAATTTTGAAATATATTTAATAAAAAGTGAGTGGCAAATTTTGAAAATGATAATGTGTATAACATTTTGATTTTTGAAAATTTCAGAACATGTAGCAAAATTCTAATTTTTTGACATTTTCGCAAAAAGTACAAATGCAGTAGTTCATGTTCAAATTTAGTTCATGTTTGATAAAAAAATAATTTGAGCTGTGTTGCGTAAAATCATCGATGACTGTAAATGGGTTAAGTCACTGAAGCAGTTCTGAATTTAAATTTTCGCAATTTTCAATTTGGAAACACAAAAAAGTCACTGGGTGGTATGTCGGAACTGTATGGAGGCTGGCGGATTTCTGTAACCTTATCAGAACCAACAGAAATACAAGGAAACCCAACCTAAGATAAGAGCAAAATTTAAAACTGCAAAGGAAAACTGGATGAGAGAACGTTGTGAAGAATTGGAATCATTACAAGAAAAGGGGCACAGCTTTGGGCTACATAAAAAGGTTAAAGAAATTTCGGGTATATACAGGAGACACTATAATACTGAAGAATGATCAAGGAGACTACATACATACCCAGGAAGAACTAGCTAGAACCTGGACAGACTATTATTCGTCACGTTTTAATTAATATTTATCCGGCCCTCCATTTATTCCTAGTGAGGTGAAGTACGTTATAAATGTAGCATAGCTGGGAAAGGCTCATGGGCCGGATAGCATTCCTACGGAAGCTATAATGTTGATGGAAGATGACTATCGACATGGTAACAATTCTCCTTGCTATATATAACCGGTTTAATAAAGCCAACGGATTGGCTTTATTAAACATTTACAATGTGCCCCAACTCACAAAGGGCGGCAAAGTTCAGAGCCATTTAGATCAGCTTAATGAGCCATTTGCATACAAGTATTTTTTCGCATTCTCCACACAAGAATGTTTAGAATGCTGGAAGAGATAAACGACGAGACACAAAGGGTATTCGAGAAACAGCTTTGTGCTTGAATACGCTTATATAAAACTGCATGGTCTAACGAAAGAAAATATTCATCACATTTTTTGATTATGAAAAAGCGTTTGATACCGTAAAACACGATACAATGATAAAAATGCTACACAACGCTGACATTGACGAAAAACATATGAGAAAGCGCGAGTGGCTGAGCACAGAGGAACTTGCATTTTGTTTTATGTGCTGTTCAACCTATATATGTGGAAAATGTTTTTGGGGAGGCACTTTAAGGCTCTAAACGACTTAAAGATAAATGTAAGAAAAAACTAAATGCATGGCAATAAGAAAAACCGCACTTTTAAGATACTTGGAAATTATGGTGAACGGTAAATGAGACCCTCAGCAAGAAATCATATGCCGTACCAAATAAGCAGGACAAGCTTTAGTTTACTTTAAATTGCAATATTTCTTTTAATTTTTAATAGATGGTTGTTAAATGCTATAAGTGATCCATATTGGTATACGGATGGAGACAGATGTTGAAAGTATCCTCCGTTAATAATTTGAAGGCTTTTTAAATGTGGACCCTGCAAAGAATATTTTGCGTAATATGGAAGTCTGAAGAAGAAGGCAAATACAGCAAGAGAATTGCTCAAATTGATCATACGAAAAATTGGATACCTGGGCCATATCTTGGCAGGAAAAAGATAAGCACTCTCTAATTTAAAAGAAATGTAAACAAAAGCCAAGCAAGGTAGGAGACAAGTTTGTGAAGAGTCACTGATTACGCTGATACCTCGCACAGTGTTAAAAAGTTTTGGCGCGAAATTTGAATTTTTATAAATTTCTAATTAATTTATTTAAGCAATGTTTGATTCTTGTCGATCGTCTAATATGTCATGTTGATAATTATGGTGGTATCTTTTATTGTACTGTAATTAGTTAGATCTTCTTTCCTCGATTGGAATAAACAATTGGAGGAACTCTTGTTATTTGAAATGACTTTTAAAACGGAACCGTCTAAGGTTGTAGGATATTAATCTAAACAAATCGTAAATAAAGAGGTCGTTTATTTGTTCTTATAGACCTTTCCACACTGCCACTTTTAAAATCAATTATATGTACCTTATAACTATGTTTGTGGCTCTCAGATAAGCTTAAGCGCCTTCTCTCAAGTCCATTTTGGGTCGAGGCATTGATTCAACGGAAACTTGAAACCTTTTTCATGGTATCTATATGTATGTTCGTCGGTTCTTGTGCACCTTCTTCACAGTTTTCCTGGTTTCTGATTTTGCCTGATACTTCCTAAGCTTCTGGTCAGTTGTGTTCACCTCACAAAAGTAGCTACTACGAACGAACATCAGGAGACACTTCAACAAGACATTGTCCTCATAGACTAATTAACTATCTTGAGACTATAAAGGACAAATAAACTTTTTTTATGTATCATTTTTAATTTTGCAATATCTGTAGTCCTAATGGTTTTAATAAATGCGTCCTTCAACGACCAAGGAAATGAAATATTCTCATCGTTGTTCTAAACGTTGAGATTCTGAGATATGATATTATAAAACATGTTGAACAGTAAAAGAGAGGTGTTTATTTTATTTAGCCAGTACATCTTTAAATGCTTTAATTACTAAGTACAAGCGAGCTCCGTTGCCCTCTTTGATAGTTTTTTTATTCCTTACCATGTCTCTTCTTACACAATATGTAGTTCGACCAATCTAGCACTTTTTCTGCAACAACTATAACTGTCTTTTCTATTCTTGTCTGGATATATCTCATTTCTAAGCTAATCTATTTCGACCTGCAGTCAAGAGGCTGGTTTAAACAAGACATGAAGTCTCGAATTGCCCAAGAGTGCTGGCCAATGGGAAGTAGATAGTGAGGATAGATACAGAATTTATTTATCCATTCTACTAAGTTTAAATAAGATACTACTTGTATTAAAAAGAATAATAATAAAAAACTTCGCTATTGTAAATTTATTCATAATTTTAAACAAAATAGATGAAAAAAAAAAACAATCAGCAATCACATCATTTCTCTTTTTGTTTGCATATTATTATATTTCAGATATTGCCAAAGCATTAATTTTATTTTCTAAGCAAAAACTTAAACTTTTATATTACTTTATGTTAGTATATAAATATGGATTGGAAAGCTTGCATGATTAACTACATGTATAAATTAGCATAGCACAACAGCGTTTCTCAACCAGTGGGGCGTGCCTCTCTAGGGAGTCTAATAACTCTACGTGGGGATTACCAGCACGTCCAAATAAAAAAAAAGATAATTACTACTAAAAATATATGTAAATTAAAAGCAATTAAACTCAAAATACATTAGTAAACTTTTTGGTTTCCAAATAAAGAAAGGAAATTTCCATTGGAAGGGGCTCCTACACGCTATGTAAACAAATTACTTTTTATTATTTATTTTTGTATTATATTGTAATTTTAATTGAAGTTAATAAAAAAAATTAATTCACAGAAAGAAAAGCAAAATCATATTCATTCTGATATTTAAAGAAATTAAGTAAGTACAGTACAAAGTTAAGCTAATATATTAGATTATCATAAATATGGTTGTATTAGTAAGTACTGTCAAATTCCAAGTGAAACTAATAATAAACTCGTCACTACTAAATTAATAGTAGCTTTAATAATTATTAGTGATTTCCTTGAGCCTGCCTAGCACAGCAAAGTTTTTCAAAAGATTTTATATTATACATAGCCACTCTCAGTCCTTTCTGACCTATAATTCCGTCGAGACCTATAATTTGTCTCTTAAGTAGCTACTGAAATGAAATTACCAATAATTTACGAATTATTCTTGTTTTTAGTAGAGAAAAGGCATCATCCACTCTCGCCCAAAATTCCAAGACAGATTTACTTCTACATTCTCTCTTGATTTCGCCGCTTGCAGTAAAGTCTATGAAGATTTCTTCTTCTGCAGTTGAGAGACTTTCGGGAGTAGTTCGAAATAGGTTCCTAACCTAACCCACTTATAACTTGCTCCCAATTTGTCATCAGCAAGAAAACAATTTTTAAAATTATGTGCCAACGTGGCTAAATGACTTCCTATTGTCACTTCTTTTTAACTTTCTTCGTCCTTGTATGATTTGACACACTGTTTCACATCTATAAAAAGCACTAACTTTATCACTGGTATCCAACATGTGTATTAGCTCCTTGGACTTATAGATTCTACACTACTACTAGAGAAGTATTTAATTTCTCTTATATATGTATGAAGTAACTTAATTTCATCACAAATAAAATATCTCGAAACTTTTCGGCTTTCGGCGGATTTCCTCTTCTAGAAGTGTCAATTTCACACGCGATAGATATCTGGTCTTGCCATAAAATAACAATATCCAATATTCTGTGCCCATGTCTTTGCAAAGTCCAATAAATATTCTTGATTTTAGGGCTCTCATCTTATATACTAAAACGCTAAGCCCTTTTCTTGTCCACCACTTTACTCAAAAACCATATTAGATAATTAAAATATTTTTTCGGAATATTATTAGTATTACCGGAAGTTAAAATTTACTTTATGTTTTAGACCCCACAATGTATATATGGATCGAAAGGTCTCGTCGAGACGAATCTAAATATGTACTTCCGGTTGCGGTCCGACACCGGAAATGACCCGAAACGCGCATAAAACGTCAAGATAGAGCAAATCTGACACCGGATTCGTGATCAGCATGCAAAATTAACTGCTAAATGATATCCATGTCGACATTTGATGAACTAAAAAATTGCATTCCGGTTTTGAGGTCGACTTCCGGTTTCGTTTTTATTAAAAAGTAAAAGTAAAAGTTTACATAACTCCCGGTGCCAAGCAAAAGTTTTCAGAAAATGGAGACATTGTAACAAAAAACATTGTTTTCGACGAAATATTTCGTGATATTTAATAAACTTTTTACCTGCATTATTATTGATGACTGTTATGTATATTCTTGCTTATATTGTTTGTATTGATCTCTTAATTTTTCTCGCAAAATAAAAATGTCATTTAAAAAACTCGATGTCCGCTAGTTTTTATATAGTCTATTACAGTTATAACCGTCGTTGGCAAAATGTTTAGACATGACTAATTTCTTTGGACAAACTTTCAGTCACTGTATGAGCACTATAGGTGCATATTCCATTTCTTATTCATTTATTGTAGTAGCGGTAAATCCAAAATTCAGGTAGCCTTGCGAATATTTTCTTAATTAGATTTGACAATATTGTCTAATACTCGCTTACGTCCAGTTAAAAATTCATCCATAGTTCTGTATGAATTTACTGCCGTAAAATTTACGTAAATATCTTATTATATGGAAATGCGGCACAGTTGCACAAAACTTGGCACCGCAAAACGACTAAAACTGACAACAGTCGCAGCATTCATACACCCTTGATTTCGATGTCCATCAGATTTTCCACAATCGTAACCACGGCTACCACGGTCTAAACTTCTCTTAGGAACAGTAAGCCGCGGGGTTATTCGATATCCGTCGTAAATGACAGATACCAAATGAGAAACATTTGGCTATAGTCCATTTCCATCATATTGATAGTACATTATGTATGCAAAACCCTAAACTGTTGATACGGGTGACTCAATGAGAAATAGATATTTGTCAACAAGTTTACAGAAGTATAATAGGAAAACAATTTTAAATTGAGTATGACCACCAGGTATAAAGGTTGAAGCAGAATAGAATACAATAGTTTTGAGGGTTACTAATCCCTAAATAAAGTTGCCAGTGTCGGAGTGATGGAGATTAACAGGTACTAATGAATTTGCAAGAAATGTAAGATGTTTATTTTATTGCTTATATATAAAATAATTTGTGGCCGTAACAGGGGCCGATTTGTAAAAAAATGAATGTTATTTTAATCAAATTCCATTTCAGATTCACTGCTTTCTTCAGAATCTAAGGAGTCTTCAACTCCAATGTTAATTATTACCGGTTCCAGCATTGCATCAGTCATATTATCCAAATTCCACATTTTATTTTCTTCCTTGTGAGCATGACTTACAGCATTTTTCCAATTTTCTGGAGTTACTTT